AATAAGAAGTTTCACATCAGATGCTTCGCTAGGCACTGGCACATGAGACCCGTGCCCTGATTTTACTTGACAGTGCCCAGAATACCCAGTTTGTGTCTTGGAAGATTAAAACAGAAAACCATTGTTGCGTCATCGACATCACATGACTACAGTGACGCCACGTTTCTAGAACTATCCCGTATCTTGGCGAATGCTCTAGTATTTGCTAGATATAGGGTAGTTTGGTATATATAAGAGGGGACAACGTGACGAGAGATTAAGGTGATGCGTGTGAGTAGACAGTGAGTAATTGATCTGCAGTCAGAAGTATTATTGAGCACGTTCGTTGTTATAGCGTTTGTTTAGCGCGATTGTTGAAGTTAAGTGTATCGGTAAAGTTGTATTCGGAAAGAATAAACCAGTTTTATTAAGTAAAGAACTTGTGTCGCTAAAGTTTCGTCGGAACGAAGTTACGGAAAGTTAATTAACAAATGGAGACGTAACACCATGAACAATATCATCCTGAAACGCCGAAAATTCCCGAGGCCTATGGGATCGAGTCCGAATCTTTTAAGCGCCTCATGACATCTTTGTTTACTGTGTTACGATAGCAGAAGTCACGTAATGCTGCTGGCGCATGCGTGACTTAGTTTCTGGAATTATCGGAGAAGTCCGCGAATTTTGGAGATGTCAAGATGGCAGAGAAAAGCCAGGCGGTGATAAAGCGAACAGTAGTTACGGTGAGTTTCGGGTAAGTTACAATTCTGTTAGTTTCAAGCTAGTGAGCCGTAAAGTGTGTGTTTTGCACTCGTAGAGAGCAAAATTATCGAGGTTGTGAATCACTGTGATTTATAGTGTGTATTATAAAAGTTGTTAAGTTTAAAGTGACGAGAAACGTACTGACTGTGGAATTACTGTGTACTAAAAGTTTGTATCGAGAAAGAATTAACTGGTTTGATCAAGGAAGGACTTGTATCACTGAAGTTCCTCGGAAAGAATTTCTACTGGATATTAACAAATAAGCAGATACGTAACAACTGTTTAACAATACTTTCACAGAAGGAAAACAATATCCTTTGATGATTTAAACTAGCCCCCTGGATGCTCAGCAAGAGTCTGAGGGCTTAAAATACTGAAAATTGGGTTTCGATACCCGCAATGGGCATAGCACATAAAACTCACTGCATAACTCTGTTCTTATTAAAAAATCTTAAACTTGATCTATAACTGTTTTTGTTCACCTGACATTATCCACGAGAATGAGTAAAGTACCTGCTATACACATACAGAAAAAATGTTTTGAATATATTATTTGAAAAACAAGTGAAGTGAGTGCTGTTGTTCGTTTATTTTTTCGCTCCCCCCCCCCAGTGGCACAGCGTTATGCCTGCGGCCTTACAACGCTAGAAACCGGGTTTCGATACCCGTGGTGGGCAGAGCACAGATAGCCCTTGTATAGCTTTGTGCATAATTAAAAACAAACAACCAATCGTTATTTTCTTTAACTTATTGCCAACAAGTCACAGACATCTACCGTAAAAGAATCCTTAGCCCAACACACCCATATATTTAACTTAATTGCTATATACTACTCAAAAAGTAAGTTTCTGACAAAGAGAGATTGAAATTATTAATTAGATTATTGTCCTATCAAATGAAAATAACATTTAATTACCTAGTACACAATTAACAAATGAATGTAGCTATTGTATCAGTGTGTATGATTAAAGTTTAGGGGTCAAAAGTAGCTTAGTGATTAATGTGCTGGACTATGGATCTGAGAGTCCATGGTTCACATACTTCTATCACAATAACGTGCTCTGCACTTTAGGGCCATGAGTACATTATGGTGAGAAAAATAGTATGATACTCATTTGAGCTAACTTCTACAGTAAAAACTCCAGCACATTTATACATTAACACAAGTGAATAGTTTAAATGGAATTAAGAATATCCTATATTTATGAACTAAGTTGTAAAGGACATTATTAATCACCTTCTTTTGCAAACTTCCTTGAAAGAAATATAGAGATTGAGTACATTATATTGAAACGATTGTGGAACCTCACTTCGTTGCTACAGTTCATTTCGCCACGTCCGGTCGTACTTACCTGACGACCGTGTTCTTGACAATAGCCCTGCAGCGTAGTTTTCATTGCAAAAGGCTCCATTATATGGATGACATTTACAAAGCACATTCCTCCTCCCTTCATGCCATCTGGCGTACGAAGAATATGGTATTTCAGATCCCCTTTCAACAGACTGATCATACAGAAATCCATCCATTGGCGATGGTTGAACTCATTGTTGTGTAAGCAATCTGTGTGCTCATGACATGTGTCGTTTTTCTAGATGGCGATCCTTCCTTATTATGCTGTGTTATATTACCTTTATATCAGCTGTGGTTTTCACGAAACTTGCTGGTTTTCGTTTTCAAAATCATTTTAATATAACGTATGCAACCCCCTGTATATCCAACATACGAATAACATCTTGGAAACCAAAAATGTCGTTGTCGATCTGAATTAATGCAAATAAATTGCAGTACATTGTACCGGATCTTCTCCTCCTTAGCCTTTAAACCTTTTCACAGACATATAGTAGTAAATGTGGATTTTTAAATGCTTTTCACCGTATTTACTAATGTGTTCCCATGTTTTGTTACTTATCCTAATACACACACACACACATATTTATAAATTATATGTAGTGGTACTAAAACATTAACTTTGTCCCATTTATTTTGCAATTGTTCTATTTCATTATATTCGAGATATATTTTGGGTATATTTAGCTTTGGCATTAATAACAGCTACTCTACATTAACTTATTATACTTGTGGTAATATGTTTAGCTCCCCCCCCCCCCCAGTGGAAAAAAGATACAAAAAAGATGGACATATAGAGGACGAAGTATTCTTTTCTAAGAGGACAGTCAGGACTACTACAGGTGCGCTACCTTCTTTTTGAAACTTGTAAAGAGTGGATGTTTGTTTGTAATTAAGCACAAAGTTACACAGTTGACTATTTGTGCTCTGCCCACCACGGTATCGAAAAACCTGTTTCTAGCGTTGTAAGTTCGCGGACATACTGCTGTGTCACTGGGGGTGGGGGCCACATGTAAAAAAACAAGATAGACACATTTATGAACAAAATAATACCCTATTCATTATCTGTATATGTATATGTACTCTATATATTTACGTTTTGATTTAGCACTTAGGTAGCCACAAAGGCAAGCGTATTTAAGATAGCTGTGTAAGTGATACAAAATCTTATGGTGTACTTATAAATTAATCGTGCTGAGCCAGCTTAGGCATTATAAAGTAGCTAAACATTTATTTGTTTGTTTGTAATTAAACACAAAGCTATAGAATGGGCTTTGCCCAGCACGAGTATCGAAACCCGGATTCTAGCGTTGTAAGTCCGCAGACATGCCGCTGTGCCACTGGGGGCATCGATAAGACCGAAACAACAGCTGATATTGTTTTGTTCTTTGTTATTAAGCACAAAGCTACACAAGGCAGAGGGGTAGCTAAGGTGGTGCCCAGGGGGCCCGCCCTTCCTGAAAAATCTAGGCATATTGATCACATATTATTTTCAGCCTTTATATATAATATACTCGTTTTGCATCATTTAATAAAAAATGCAAAACTTCTATAAACACCATTACATTTGATTTGATTATTTTAATGATCATTTTATTAAAAATTGATTTCAATGTCAGCTTGTTAATTTGTTGTCCTCCAGAGTGGAAAACCTGCTCTGCCCACCAATATAAGTCCCAACAGCTGAAGAGGGATGCATTAAAAGTTATAATCAATTATATTTGCCAAAATAACATAGTATTAGGCTGATTGTATTTTGAATACTACAAGCTTTATTCGCTCTCTTAAGATTTTTCATAGGAAAATAATGTATAATGGTATAAATATCAATGTTGGAGGTATCCCACACTCTATGAAATTAAAAACCACGTGTAATGGTATTTCAACCACACTACACCTTTTTCTCGGTAAACCTCTAAGCCCTAATGAACTGAATAAAGAATGTAATGTTTAAAAATACAACAACCCAGAGGCATCGCTAGACAGTTAAAAGATTCGGGGCTCAGGCTCATAGGCGCAAGTATTTTCGGCGTTTCAGTATGATATTAATCATGGTTTTCTGTTCTGATTTTTCAAGACATCAGCTGGGGATTCTAACAAATGGCTTGTAAAAATAGCATTCCTAATACTATGTTTGTTATATTCCAGCTGGCCTAACGAGCTCTTGTATTGAGCAAAACGCATCGTCGGCAATGGATAGAGCGGACATAGTATGGTTTAAATAGAAGTATATACTCTTCTTCTTTGAAAACCCCCAAGAGGTCCAATAAATAATTCAGTGCTTAAAAATGCAATAAGCCTAATGCTGTTGTCTTATAACAAATATAATTAAGTAAGAATTACTTAATCCAAACTTTTGTGTTACTGTTGGAATGACGTGTCCTCCCATTGTGTAGATTAATTACGGCGTCAAACTGTGAATAATATCAGGCTATGTATTGTAGCTTCTACCTGTCTTTTAAATATACTGTAATATGATTAAACAAAATATATTAGAAAAATTAAAAATATTTATACCTGAGACTTTGCATTATAACGTAATGAAGTAAAAAGCTCGATGATGGTGTGTTGAGTCGTTATATGATGTAGATCATAATTTCGTATTTCTGATCGATATATTACTTCTTTACATTAAAACACAAATATTTACCTATTAAAATTTTATTTTTTACTATACTTTCTGCCCCCCACCCCCACCCCAGTGGCATAGCGGTATGTTTACGGACTTACAACGCTAGAATCCGGGTTTCGATACCCGTGGTGGGCAGATCACAGATAGCCCATTGTGTAGCTTTGTGTTTAATTACAAATAAACAATAAACAAATAAAACTATACTTTCTAATCACATTATAATTCAGATACATAGGAATTATAATACTTATCAGTTATCATGAAATATTTCATTTTTTGTCGAGTAAAACAAAAAAGTACATCGTAAGAGGGCGTGTTAACCAAATAGTAGCGGGTCTGGTATGAAAGTGTTGTTGTTGTAGTATTAACAAATATAGTTTGGAGGATAATAAATTTCGGTGTTGTGTATTTGTAGTGGATAATGATCATTTTTTAAAGTTCTGGGTTTACATCTCGTAAGTTTTAGTTTACAACAACATGGCAAGTGGAAGTTCAGCTCCTTTTCTCTTGGAGCAAGTCGAGGAGGATGCATCTGAACTGCAGTTTCCAAAGGGTAAATGACACATCGATAATCTGTAACTCTAGTCTAGATTCTACATGATAAAGAATATCGTATCAGGTTGTATAATTTTGAAATTTACATTTGGACACATCCCATTCATTAAGCGTCAAATTGTAAAAAAAGAAAAAGTACCTAGCCCTATATTTGGGCTACATTATGATTATGTCACTAACGCTGTAACTTAAGTTGTAACGACATGTGGATGAAACATGACGTTATGCGTGCTATTTTTATCTAAAAAATGTTAATACTACTACCACTACTAGTTGTTTTGTAGAACAGTGTGATAGTATTGCCCCGTTTGCATTTTCCGTGTACTGAATTGGACAGACTACTTTAAAACAATTTAAAGTTTAAAGTTATCCATCAATGTTACCTTGCAAAGTAAATGAAAGATGTTGCTAAAGCAGTCTGAGTGCTCACTGTAGTAGAGTAGAGAATCTAGTGAGAGAAATTTGGATATTTTAAAGACATACAACCTAAATTGTTTTTTGTAAGAGTAAATTAGTATTCTCGGGATAGATGCTTAATGCTTTACACAAGAATTAATAGGAACATAAAACACAGAAGGAAGCATAGTGCTATTGAAAATGTAAGATTGAGTTTCTTATTTGAGTTTTTTTGAGGGAACAAGTGGGGAGGTTGACAAAATTTAAATTTATGAACAGTTTAATCTATGCCCAATTTTCCCACCTATGTCTTACCCTCACAACTCTTTTGTAGTATATTTCCACTATTCATCTCCTATCTAAAGCTCTTCACAGAAATTCTGAGGGGTTTTATGGGGACATCCTCTCCTTCCTTACCTCCACGTTGGCTCATTTGTCATCTTCGTCTCTGGCTTTACATATGTAGTTTCTTTGTTGTTTGGACCTTCTGGGCTGGGATGCTGTCTTATCAATGGCTCATTTACCTACACTTTATTTCTGGGATTTATGTATGGTCTCGTTTTTATGGCATTTTATTTTTGATATGATCTCGGAGTCTTTAGAATCTTGGGTGGCATCAATCCTACATCAGTCTCCCCTTTCCAATCTGGTAGCCCGTTTGTCTCAGTCGAAGCCAAGGGTGGCACCTGGTACAGTTTCTTGTCCTTCCCCTTTCCAATCCTTACCACAACTCATCATTTTTCTCAACGACTCACATCCTGTCAACAACAATACTGGTGACTGGTAGGCTCTGATCCAGTGGGAGCTTGACTTGCGGCTTTTGTCAACGATGTTTGGGTTCTTCAAGTTTTGTTGGAAGGATTCGAGATCCCATTTCTCACCAAGCTTCCATTGTATCCTGTACCCGTTTCCTTCCCTCCATCTCGGGATCCCATTGTTTGCCAGCGTCTGTCAGAGGCAGTTCAGGACCTCCTCTCTCAACAGGTTATTGAACCTGTTCCCCATCATTCACCAGGTTTTTACTCCCAAATAATTGATGTTTCCAAGAAAACCAGGGACTAGAGGCCTGTCATTTAAATTGTTTTGTTCTCCTTCCCTGTTTCACCATGGAGTCCTATCTCCGCCTCCAGTGGGCATTTTCTCCAGGTTTATGGATGACCAAGATGAACATCGCCAATATTTACCTACATATTCCAGTCTCAACATAGTCTCGTCCATCGTGGGGTGGTGTACCAGTTTTGCACCCTATCCTTTGGCCTTGCTTTTGCACCTTATGTTTTCTGTTGGTTGATCAGGGCTTTTGCTCTTCATTTTCATGCCCTGGGGCTGCATTTCCATTATTATATTGACAACTGGCTTCTTCTGGTTCATTCCGAACTAGAGTCGGCCAGTCATACTTGTCAGCTACTTCAAGTAGCTGCTCGGGTGGGCTGGTTTATCAAATTATTGAAGTTCTACCCAGTACCTTGTCCATATGGGTGTTTTTTCAACACTCACCTCAGTCGTGTCCAACCTTCTCTGCTCTGACTTTGTTCCATAGAATTGTTAGTGTGCCACGCCCTGTCTGCTCCCTCACTTTATGCACTCAAGGTTCTATTGCTTTTGGGGATGTAGTCTTCCATGACATCACTGGTTCTCCTAGGCGTGCACATATGAGTTTCCTACAGCGGACTCTGCACGATCAGTAGAACCTTCATACCTTTCACCCGACATTGTCTGGTGATGATTCATTCCGACAATTCGATGGTGGTAGCACATATCAATCACCAAGGTGGCACCTGGTCAAGATCTCTATGTTGTTGTACTTTGGATCTCCTCTATTGGGCCCACACATACCACATTCAGTTAATTGCTTGTCATATTTCGTGTACTTTCAGTCTCGTGGCAGATTGTCTTTCCTGCCCTGACAATATTTATTCAAAGGAGCGGTCCCTCGATCCTCTCGTTTTCTAGTGACTTTGCAATCGTTGGGGTTTTCATCACATTGATGCATTTGCAACCACTCTGAAACACAAATTACCTCTCTTTTGGTCCTAGGTGCCTCATCCTCAAGCCTTGGCTATCGATGCCTTCAGCCAGGATTAGTGCCACAAATTCCTATATGTTTATCCTCCAATCCGATTGCTTTATCGGGTAGTTTCCCTAATCTATACAACTCTGTGCTGGGTTCTTTTGATAGCTCCCTAGTGGCAGGCTCAACTGTGGTTTCCTCATTTACACCAACTCCAATTATTCTCTCCTGTCTGGTCCTTGGCAAGAAGATCAGGTTTCTCTCCTCATGTAGCTTTCATTTGGCTCAGTCCATATGTCCTTCTTCCATGGAGGTATATCAACAGAAATGGAAAGTCTTTCACACGTGGTCGCATGCTCAGAGAATTCCAGCTGCCCGACCTACTGTGGCTGTTGTGCCTTCATGGACCACACCTAACATACTCATCTCCCATTACTTACATCATATTGAGATTTCTTCTTCCTGTGGCTGTTGTGTCTGAGTTTCTGATGTGGCTTTTCGACTAGGGTCTTCAGTCTTCTTGATTTTGGTTTATCGGGCAGTCTTGTTCCATACCTTTCCTCTTTCCTGTTACTGTAGAGTCTTTGATTCACCTGACCTTACCATGATAATCTGTTCCTTCTGTATTTGCCATCATCCCTGATGACCTGCAATTCTGGACTGGGATGTTAATGTGATCCTCCATTCCCTTACTTTACCTCCGTTCAAACTTCTTTTCTCATGTTCTATGTTTCACCTTTCCCTTAAGGCATATCTCCTTCACTTCTTGTTCTGTGGGCTTTGCACACTTTACCACCATGCTTATCTTCTCCTTTATCCGGATCGTTCCTCCCTCCCAAAAACCTCGGTGGCTTGTAAGGGTAACTCCTCATTTTCACCTATATCCCTTCCGTCTATCTCTCATGTCTACTCTCATCCCAATTTGGATAGACTTCTATGTCTGGTGCATGCTTTTCATTGCTTTATTGCCTGCATGGCTTCCTTCCATGGTTCCTGTTCCAGAATCTTTATCCCATGGCAATCTTCTTCATCTAGTGATCTATCCCCTTCTACTCTCACTAGTTAGGTTTGTTGTTTGATCCAGTTGATCTATTCCTCCTTGTCCCCTTCCCATGGGAACTTGTTCAGAGTTACTTCCCATCAAATTCAACACTTTACCTTTTCCCTCGCTTCTTGTCTTCATCAGCCATTGGAGGAAATCCTGCAATCAGTTATGTGGACCACACCTAACACATTCATCTCCCATTACTTACATCATATCGAGATTTCAGCTTCCTCGGGTTTTTGCCTTCCACCTGTGGCTGTTCTTTAAGTTTTCGGTGTGACTCAAAAAGACTTGGTAAGTTGATATTAATGTTTTTTTTATTCCTGGGGCCCATCCTTCATTACCTGGATCCCTCTCTGGGGCGAGTGGTGCCAGGCAGGTATTCTACAATTCCAAATTCACACTGTACAGCCATCTTGACTTGAGCTTTCCATTCCATGGCTTCGCATTGCTCACTGTTAAGATGGGGTGTTTCACAAGATCGCTTGAAGGTGAATAACCTCGTAATGTTTGCTTCATAAACTTACCCATTCCAGACCATACCACTCATGGACTTCCCCATTTTGTGGGTCACAGTGGGGGTAAGGGGAATTATTTTGTGTTCTGTCCATTGCTATATCTCATGTATCTTTGTCTGAGGATGTTATCGCTTACCGGATGGTTCCAGTCAGTTTTGCTGTTGGGGGAGTAGATTTTGTTCACATTTATATCCTTTTGATACTGGGTGTAGGGTTCCCGGATAGAGATATATTCCTCAAATAACACATGTCGTGCTGTGGGGTTGGAATGGTTTTAGATCCCTCCAGTCTCTGGGGCTTGAGGTAAAGACGGTATGATCCTCATCTTAACCCTATGTGGATTCAGTTCCCAGTGGCATGGGTTTTGGATGTAGTTGACTTACTGAGAATAGTCTGTCATGCCCTAGTCACTCTACACTGTGGGGCTCATGGTTTGTTTACCTGCTTTTCTGTTTGGTGGGATTTACTTGTGTATATCTATTTAAGGATTTGGATAATTATTCTCCCTCAGTTCTCTCCACTTGGATGTGCTCCTCTTTTTTTACATACTTTTTCTCCACTCTTTATGGATTGGTGAAGAGGATACCTGGTCAGAAATGGTGTGGTTCTCTTCGTCAGAGCTACGGAGGGGTATCCTGTACTTCCATCACACCAGTCCCTCCTCCTAATCATTGTGGAATTCTAGCTAATATTGTGAGGGGAGGAAAATACCGTATCAGAAGTTATAATTTTCCTATACTGAAAATGTATTTCCAATAGGTACTTCCCTCTGCTTACACTTCCCACCCATTCTCCCAACACTCTTCTGGTGATTCTTTCTTCTGCCAAACGTCAAAGTGATAGTTCGGTAGAAATGCATAGAGGGAGTCACGTGCATTATGTGAGTATACCATGCTTCTTTTGGTGGATATTTGACGCATAATGATTTACGTGAGACACATGTTGGAATGGGGGGGAGCGGAAGGCTTGTGGCATGCATAAAGAAAAAGTTCGCATATAGAGGACAGCAATGAACGAGAATAGTTAATCTTGTGAGGAGAGGGAAGTACCTATCGGAAATACATTTTCCGTATAAGAAAATTATACCTTCTTATTTTAAATCTAATTGAGAGTTTTATAAACCAAATGATGGTTCAACTATGGGTAGTCTACCTTCTACTTTACTTTTTGGCATTTTTATGATTTTAAAGAAGAGTTTTTACAAAATCTTGATCCTATTGAGAAACCAAATTTTTATTGTTGTTATGTTAATGATATCAATTTTATTGATGCGGTACTTGAATTAGAAAATATAGTATTAAGTAGAAAATCTTAAGTCATCCAATTTACCTATGAAATTGAAAATAAACTAGCTTTTTCTGATGTTCTTATTCAAAGCATACCTAACATTACTAATTGTTCTGAAGTGTACTGAAAACCATAAGCAGCTACAATCACTCCTATTCTAAAAACATATTAGAGTTTATTTGTTCTAGTCAAAAGGGTATGAATTATATTACTTGAAAAATTTTGCTGTTTTTATTAGAGGCTGTAATTATTGATAGGATTTGTTGAAATTATTAAATAATCTTTGAAATCAACTGTAAATAATAATTCAACCAAGTTTATAACTTCACATAATTTTCAGACTGTTTCAAATTGTATTGGTTATTTGTTAAAAAGACTAAATTTTAATTTGAGTTTTAACCATGTTTTTTAATTTAAACAAATGAAACTTTCTCTTTCCATTAAGTTAAAAATAGAATGATGGTTATTGTTATATGGTGGAGATGGACAAATCTTCTGTTGCCTTGCATGTTCTTGATACAAATCTTGCTATAAAAGGTGATAAATCAAAAATCGTTAAAGATAACATATTTCAAAGAAGGAAATCATGGAATAATTGAAGTTTATAAAAATAGGCATATTATTTCAAATAAAGAAATGGGCTTGGATGTATTTTGGAAGGAATTGTTTGGTGTATTTTATCTAATGTGAAATTATATGGCTATTGCAGTGTACAAGATCGTACTTATATCTAGAGAGGGGTGACAAAATTGATTCATTATTATAACCATTTACATTGATTAATGTCGCATAAAATAACTGATTAATCAAAATTATGATTAAATCAATTAATGCCACAAAATAGTCAACTGGTGTGTTTGATTATTAATGTTATTGATTATCCCAACTATCCAGTACTTGAAGTTATGATTACATGGAATAATGCCATGAAGATGATCAACTAATCAAAATTACTGTTTTCAGTTATTCCAACTATCCAGTAATTGAAATATTGTCAATATTATTTTTCATTGTTATCTTTGATTAATTCAAGTTTGTTCAGCTTAATTGATTAGTGTTTTGATTAATGCAAATAATAAACTTATTGAGATTTAGGTGTTCAGTTTTTGATTATTCCAACTACCCAAGTCATCAAAATATTACTATTATTTTTATTTGGTGTTAAGCAGAAAGGCACACTATATGCTTGTGGGCTTTACCTACCATGGGTATTGAAACCCAATTTTTAGCATAATAAATTGTTGTTTTTTTGTATTGTATTCTATCTTGTGAGAATAGTCAATTAGTTGAACATAACTGATTAATTAGCTCCAAGATTAATCCATTTGCAAATTCCACTAATTGTCCAGATCTACTTGTACCTTTGGCCACCTGAGTGACTGAATCAGTTTTTAATTTTTACCTATTGTATTTCAATAAAGTGTTATTTATGTATTTTTCGATTGTCCTGTATCCCCTTTGACTATAGTGTTTGAAATGTTTCCTTTGGTTCTACATTATTTAACAATCTTACTGTATAGATATTTCTCTGTGAAAAGTTTTTATTATTATTATCCATTAGTCATAAATCTACCTGTACTAGCATTGCATTATTGAATGGTTGGAAAGTTGCCATGAACCAAGCATGTATTTGCTAAACTTGGTGCCTTGGCTTGCATCCATAGCAACATGCCATTGCACGTGTAAGTTGATCTATAACGTATGATTAATCATCCGTATGTTTAGGTATTGTTGCAAAAATGTTTTGTTTGTTCTTTCACTAAATAATAATGAAAAATATTATTTAAAAAAATCATCTTGTCTTCTCTGTCATTAAGTAACCATGTGAAGTTCTTTTCAGAGTTTGAAAATGCTGAGACACTTTTAATATCTGAAGTACACATGCTTTTGGAACACCGGAAGCAACAAAATGAAAGTGCTGAAGAAGAACAGGAGTTGTCAGAAGTGTTTCTAAAGACACTAGACTACTGTCAACAGTTTAGTCGTTATAAAAATAGAGAAACAATTGCTGCAGTTAGGAGGTCTGTGAAAAACATATATTTGTTTCTTACACTTTATGATGTTTGATGTTTTATTATATAACTGTGTGGATTATTTAGTATAAGTAAATAATGCCTTTTGGGTAAAAGTTCATAAAGCATTTTCTAGCAGGAAATTTGAAATAATATGATGTATAGTTGGACAGTAAGATGAGCATATTTAGTAAAGAGTACAAGAATTTAAAATTGTTTGTTGAAAACTATCACAGTATTTTATATCCAAATACTGTTTAGTTTTTAACCTTAGCAATTTTTTTAGTATTTTCTGATGTGTTTAAGCACAAAATTGTATATGATATAGTATTTTGTGAACATTGAAATACTTTGTATATAACTACTTTAACTACTGTTACTCAAATTTCACTTCAATAAACGTTTCATAATTATTTCCTTTATTATTGTAAATGAAATGTTTGTGAAATATACAGTTGTGTTTGTTTTCCTCAATTTTTGTAATCTTGGAATATCACCAAGTACCAGCAGTTTCAAGTATTAATTATACAATACAAATAGTATTATAGTAATAATACTCTGGTAGCTTAATTACATTTTGTTAATTTTATTAATTGCACTAATCTAATGATATTTAGTAAAAATCATTCATTTAAATTTATTCCACCAAGTTATTGGTTTTTATGTATCTCAAGCTTTTTCATAATTATGACATAACCAATTTAGCACTTATCCTTCCATATTACAATTTTTAATGTTCAGGTTATAGTGTTGAAGTTTCTGTTATATACATGTACCTACTTTTTACTGCATGTAAGTCAGACAGAAAACATGTTTTACTTAGATGATGGTAATAAATTGCTTTTAAAAATTCAAATTTTGATGGAGAGTCATAGACTTTTAGGCAGTTGTTGAATTATGAATTTAAATAAATGGTGTATAATTAATTGATACTTTTATGTTGTTTATGTAGGCACAACAGCAGCTATAGATTTTGAATAAATTCCTGAACTTTTTGTTGATCTTTATCTTTCCAATAATTAGTGTTTTTGATATTTGAATAAGATCAAGATCTATTTTTTCATAATAGTTTATTCAGAAGATATAATCATTTACCTGTCTCTTCTTGGTTCATTAAGATATTTCATTAGAAGGTATTCTGCATGTAAATCTCATTAAGTGTTTTTCTAGACAATGTTACTGCATGGAAAACGGATTAAATGCTTTTTTAGAGAAAAGTATAACTGCATTAAAAGCACGTTAATATTTCTCTAGAGAAAAAGATTACTGCACAGAATGCTTATTAAGTACTTTGAGGTTGGACATTGAAAATGTTTAGGTTATTTGGACATTCATATTCAAATGTCAAAACTGGGAATTTGAGTATTTGATGATGGTTTTATGAAAACTTCATGTTATACTCCATGCTTACTGTGGGATGCCAGTAAATGTTATCTACTCAATTCAGAAATTTTGGAAGATTGATATATAAAACATTATTTCCAATACAATATCTTACCTTCTCTCACAATGTAGCTTTTCTGGACTAGCACTGTCCTCTGTTGTTGCAAATCTTCAATGCACACCACTAGCCTTCCACTTCTCATTTCTGCATATCCTCATGTAAACGATCATGCAGCATCTCTCCACCAATTTGAGCACAACACCACTCCTAACATAACCAGTGCCCTCTTCACATCTACACTTGCTAATTGCTTCTCAATTGGTAGTACTACTGTACCGATTTTTGCTCGTGGATTTGTCAACATTTTCCATTATACTACCAGCATAGTTTTTTCTATACTTTTTATTTAAATTTTTGCATTTTGATATTGCCAAAGATTGTTTTTTTTCTTTTCAAATTTTTCTTCCTTTTATCAGGGGCCTTTTTGCTATTGTATTGTAGATCCCACTCTGTGGCAAGTGATGCCTGATCAGGTACATATATATATATATTATTTTTTTTCTTTCTTTTGAAAATCCTCAATGTCCATCCTGTGACCATGTTTGATGTCAATTATGTTGTAGTCCTTTCCTACCGCAGACCTGAGGTACAATTCCAGATGCTGCTGGATGTTGGTTGTGTGTTTTTGTTGTTATCTATTACTAAACATTTGCATCGCAGGTTTGGGTTATGCACATGTAGAGATGGGGTGTTCTGTAGGACTGCTAGGAGTTCTCTCTCTAGTAGTTTTTGCTTCATAAATATGTTTGTCCTGGACCGTACACTCATGGACTAACAGGAGTAAAGCAGAAAGAGATTGCTGCCATCTCTGCTGCTCTGTAGCATTAAGTCTCTTCCTACCATGGATCTGTTGTACAATTCCAAATGATGCCTGGTTTTGGTTGATTGACTCTATATCACAGTCACCCATTGCACTGTCTCTGGTGATGCTGTCCTCCGAACTGTCCAACAAGTTTTTTACCTCTTTTCTTCTAGTGGAATATGAAAGTTCTTATCACTTAGATGCTCCTAGCTGCTGGGGTGGTTAGAGGCCTGTCCTCCTGAGTGGTGAATTATACCACTCAGTTGAGAATAGGGTGGTGGCATATAGCACTTCCTACTGCAGACCTGATGTACAATTCCAGATATTGCCAGGTTTTGGTTGTAGCGCTACACCATATTCCTGTCTACATATCTAATCGACTGTTTTTTTTCTACCGTAGTGGCCCTCGTTCATACCATCCTCTGGAGGGACATTCCCGGGTGGGTCTGGTTCTGGTTGGGGATGGACCAGTCATGATTAATGTCATGTTTAGATGACATGACACTCCTTCTACCATGGACCTGATGTACAATTCCAGATGCCACCAGGTTTTGGTTGAGGCACTCTGCTATGTAACAAATATATATATATATATATTTATTTATAATTGCAATTTGCCTTTCAGGCCCAGACACTCCTCCTACCTACCATCCTCCAGATGTACATTCCCAGTATGTCTGGTGTTGGTTGGAGATGTTCCAACTAAATAAGTCCTCACGTGTGCTGGCCAGTATCCCTCTTTCTACCATAGACTGGGTGACAAATGGCCACTGCTGCCAGGTTTTAGACTGGAGATGCACCCCAGGTTTGCGGTCCCTCTTCCTACTGTCTGCTAGATGTTGGTTCCCAGTGGATCTTGTATTGGTTGTAACTGGACATAGCACATGTTTTCCTGCTTGTGTACAGCTAAATATGCTCCTCCTACGGAGGACTGGAAGTACTGTATCCATTGCTGTCAGGTTTTGGACCAGAGATATCATCCCACCAGGGTTTTCCACCTTCATACCATATGCTGGATGTCAGTTCCTGGCAGATATGGTGTTGGTTGTGTTAGAAATGTGTGCAAGTGGTGACGGATTTGGTACGGAAGTTCATCTTCCCTACCACCAGTTCAATGTGGGATTCTAGCTATTTTGTGAGATGAGGTAAGATATCGTATTGGAAATTAGCATTTTCCTACACTGAAAATGTATTTCTGACAGATACTTACCTCTTCTCACTTTTCCCACCCAGCCTCTCCATTTCCAATGATATATGGTGTAGGTCTTCTGACCAATCTCGAAGTGATTAACGAGTGCAGGTGTGAAAAGGACACTGTTTACGAAAGGAGTGGTGTTGCACTCCTATTGGTGAAAAGCTGTTGGATGATCCTTTACATGTGGATATGCAGAAGTGGGAGGTGAAAGGCTAGTGGCAGGTGTTGAAAATGTGTGCAGATAGAAGGTAGTGCTAGTCGAGAAAAGCTATTTTGTGAAAGGAGGTAAGTATCTATCGGAAATACATTTTCAGTGTAGGAAAAAGCTAACTTTCCAGATTTCTCAAATATTTTAATTGTTTTATTTTAAATAAGAATCATCAAGACTGTAAATTGGTTCATGTAAATAACCAAGGGGGCAAGTCACTGCTGCTAAGGCTTCCGGAGCATGGTCCCCTGTTCAATTTTGAAAAATAGACACTAAAGTACACATTATCTTGTGTTCAGGTGTGTAATTTTATCAGGTTTTGTCTTGTAAAAATAATAGCATTTCTAAGACTTTTAATTTTGAAGATATTGATGTTTTTCCTTCCCAATACTGGATCACACAAGTTCTAACAAATAATCTCTATGCTCATATAAATAATTTCAGTTAGTCAGGTCCTTTAAATTTAAGAACTAACATTGACTAAAATAAGAATATAATATGATCAACTAGGCAGACAGTAACACCCAGAGATTACTCAGTAAAAGGACTGGCTTGTTAGAAAGTGCCCATTAAACATTTGTTTGCTTTTACTTGAAACTAGGAGTAAGCATGTTGTTAACTATTAATTTTGGTTATTCTCTTTAAAAGTCAAGGCTGTTTTAGAATATTTGAATTTCATGTGCCATCACTTCACGTCAGTTCTAGAACTGTCTGTAGTGAACAATACAAACATCCAAATATTAAAAGCATTTTTCACAACAGTATTTTATATATGATCTGCACCTATTTGAGGTTTACCAGTGTAATGATATGACAGAGTAAATAGGTTATGATGTTTCACATATCTTTCAGTAAAGAAATTACCTTTTAAAATAGTTATAAATCACTTCTGTTGTATTTCTGACACTACAACCTGTAATTAATAGCTGTTAGTGGAGAATGAATGAGAAAGCATAACTTTGACATTGCTAAAATTCACTCTCATAATACAATTTTTAGAACTATTGTAAAGGACTGTCTGGTTCTGATTTAGACGTGGTTATTTCAATAACATAACGTCTTATTTATTCATTTAGTTTTCTGAATCAATGTGATCACTAGTATTAATGCTTACACCACTTATTCTTTTTTTTACAATATTCAGCATAGATAAAATCAGACAACCAATGCTTATTTTCTTTCCAGTTTTGTAAATTTAGAAACAAAAAAAACTTACTTGGTTGATTTATATGTGTAAGTGAAACATTTTGATTGGTCAAGCAGAACAGACAATCAAGTCAGTAATATGTAGCAGGAACTGTTTATGAGAACAGTTGAGGACATTACCATGATTATGTCTGTGCTTAAAATTTTTAAACCTTCAAATGATTTTACAACTGTCTTTTGTAACTATAATACCATTTTTGATACAACAACTGAGAAAGAATTTTACTCCTCTGGCTACACATAACTTGCATCTGTGATCATATGCAAATTAATATATTTGTTAGCTAAATAATATTAGTTATTTGCATCACTGTTGTTTATATTTATGTTCTTATGTTTAAATGAAATTTTAATAAAAAATAATTTAATGGAATAAATTCCAGAACTGCTATTATATTGATTCTATTCCATACTCTCTTATTTTGTTTAGCTAACTGTATTGACTGTTGAATCTTTACAGTCTAAAATAGTGACAGAATTTTAAAACTTGCCCTTTCATTAGCAGCCAAAGTGACATCACAGATGTGGTGGCATGTTAATATCATGTCGTCTGACAGACCTGTAAATTTTGAAATAAGATAAAAGCAACTTGAAGATACTTCCTAATATTTTGATGCCTGACACTTAATTTTTCTTATAGTTTGCTTATGCAGAAGAAACTACACAAATTTGAACTAGCTCAGCTGGCTAACCTTGCTCCTGAAACACCAGAAGAGGCAAAAGCTCTGATACCAAGGTATATTTTTACTGAAAATGGAGTTTAATGTCTTGCATATTTTTTTTTCTTTTTTGTAACTGGATTGTTTGGGCTTGTCCAAATCAAGCATGAATTACGTATGCATTGAACATCAGGACCATTTAAAGCCTGATTCAAATCAACTGTTTTACATCTTTCCAACCAGACATGTGTAATCTTAAAAGGTTGTTTTTTATATTTAATAAAAAGTTACATATGTTATTAAAGGAAATGTTAGGTACAAACTAGTAAACACAAATTTAGATCTGATTTTCATCCAGTGATAAATGTTTTAGTCTGTATTTGTTATTAAGGTCGTGTTAACTCCTGTACTAAGAAAACCATTCAAATATTGTTACAGTAGCTCTTCCTCTTGACATTTTCTTCTAGATACAGAAAAAAAGACACTTTTCTATCATAGATAATCACTATAACAAAAACATAAACAATGTAATTTAATAAAATGTTAGCAGTTGTGGAAAATTTCTTTGATAAGTGAAGAAATTTTGTTTATACAATGGTAATGTACTATTTATACAGCTAAAAATAGTTTGATGTTGAATGCAAACCAAAGAGCAGAATGAAATTTAAAGAGTAAAGTGATCATTGTAAGTGAACTATATACAGTTTATGTTTGTCTAGACTTACAAGTTTGAAAAAAAAGTATCTTTATAATCAGAATTGTGTAGAAAGATTTGTTTACAGAATGATCTAAGAAGAATTAAATTCTGCTTTTGAAAGTGCCGAGTTTCCTATAGAATTGTTATTAATTACATGTTGGATAAATCTATACTTTGGCCAACTTGTAAACTTGGTCAGTGTCAGTTATCAAGATTGTGTGACTGACAATGTCAGACTACCAATGTTTCACCTTTTATCCCTAAATTATCTAGTTAACAGCACATCCTATGCCTTTAAGAAATCTACACATGTAAGCAGTATTCCAGAAATATTGTTCAATGTTTGTGTCATATTTTATTTTTGACTGTCTTTTAGAAAAGCATAATCATAATTTTAATAATATCACAAACTCTCTAACTTTCACTTATATAAAATGAAATGTGTAAAATGATATATAGAAATAAATTGTACTATAAAGTTCATAAATGTGTCATTAAAATTTTTTAAAGCATCATTAAGACTATTAATGTAAGTAGATTCCATTTGGAAACTCTAAAAGCCTTTAATAAAAATGTTGATTTTTAGCTTCTGTTCTCAATGAAGAAGTTTTGAAAATATTATTTTGGATTCTTACACTTATTTGCTAAAATCTGTGTGTTGGCAGTAAAATTATAGAGTGAATAACTGCATGATTGAATAGGATGAAATAATATTTTGGATTCCTACACTTACTTACTAAAGTATATGTATTGATAGTGATATTATAGAGCAGAAAACTGCATGATTAATTATAATATAGTAGTATTTTTATGTGGTTATTTACCTTTAGCTTTTTCTGAATTACTGATGACAATGTATTCTATACACATCAGCTTAGAAGGAAGGTTTGAGGATGAAGAACTTCGCCAGATTTTGGATGACATTCAGACACAGCGGAGTTTCCAGTATGGGGCAGACTAATGAAACTGTTTGTGTTCCAACTTTCTTTAAATCATTGTACATTAAAATAAAGTGTCAAGTTTTTATTCGTGTATTTTTGTTTCATTTTTTTAGATTTTTTTTGTGTTGGTCAAACACTGACTTCATACCATTCCCATGTAAAAGGTTTTTACATAATTGAAACAATAAGCAATTTTAAACTTGAACCAACTCTCAGCAAGTAAAATATATTATTTTGACTAGCCGTTTCTCATTCTTCTATTATTAACAAACTTCTTTAAGGAAATTCCTGAACAGTTCATAGGCAGTTTGTGTGTTTGTATATTTATATATATAAATAGATAGTATTGTTTGAGATTGAAAGAATTATCAGGAGCAATAGATGACTTACTTAACACACATTGAAAATATATTGGATGCTCAACAATAACATTTCTAAATTATCAATCAAAAGGATAGTAAAGTCACTTTGTAGCATTATCAGCTTTATGAGAATGTTTCTTTTTGTTGTTTTTTTGCATCCAAGTTCTGAATATTAAAGTACTTTGAGAGGAAAGAGAATATACTTATCAGATGCTATGAGCATTGTAAAAAAGTTTCACTTAGACAGTTTGATGCACAAAAATTTGAGTCACTAAATTAATCATACTTTGATTCTAATTTCAGTTACTGTATTCCAAGATTGATTTTTTCATTATGTATAATCTTGCAAACTGTGGATGTTTTTATATTTAATTACTAGCTACCCATCATGCAGTTGAATGGCTAATTCCAAGAATAAGGTTTAAACATCTTAAATAGTTTCCACAAAGAGTAGACAATAAAAAATTATAGTTTGCAAACATAATGTAGTTTTGCACCTCATATACAGTGGTTTGGATAAGCTTTTAACCTAATGTGGCAAGATGTCTTACTGTAAATAACCACTGTATTACTGATAAAGGTCACTAAGTTTTTGGAAAAAATTGAATTGAGTTTGTACTTTTGATAAGCTCAACTTTGCATTCTGTTCACAGCTGATTTGCACACCTCATTTTTTGTGTTAATTGGTGTTTATAATATTCCTAAAAGTGTACAAGATATACTAAAGTAGTAAGCTCAACCTTGCATTCTGTTCACAGCTGATTTGCACACCTAATTTTTTGTGTGAATTGGTGTTTATAATATTCCTAAAAGTGTACAAGATATAATAAAGTAGTAAGTTATTTACATTATTTTGACTTTGTTTCACACATGTTATTACAAAGTTCAGTACTTTTGTCTGGAGAGTTTCCATGTGTTTTGGGAAGAAACTAATTATTTAAAATCTAGAAAGGATCTGAAACTACTACATTATACATACTGTTAAACAGGTTGTAATTTTTTTTTAGTTATTTAGTCTGTAAAAGTTTTCTTTGATGTGAAATTTTTTTGTTCAATTTCTGTGTCACTAAAGTGAATTTGCCTCAACAGATTTATCTTTTGCTATTGAGATAAATTGCTACTAGATTCACACATGCAGCTTTCTGAACATTCAAATGTTTCATAAAATAACATGATTCACCTGGTGTAATAAGTAATGTGGCTTCATTAACATATTTCACATACTTGAAGATTGTTTCTGACAGCCTCAAAGTCATTAATTGCAAAAGTGTTTTTGTCTTTCTTTATAGTTTAGTTTTTTTTTTGAAGTTGATACAACTTATCTGCTATATACTACATCTTGCGACCACTCTGTGATCTTGTGTAAAATTCCCACAGTTTTTGGTATTTCTAAATACCAGACCGTATTTTGGGCTTAACTCTTTGCCTAGGTGAACTTTATAAATACATTTTTATGGGTGAATTAATTGTGTCATTTTGCTGCAAATAAAAATATGACAGGTTTTTAATAAGTATTGTATGTGTGGATGTATGGTTAATTAGTGCAACCCAAACAATAATGTACTTATTATAATTCAGAGGTATTTGTAAGTATGCTTACTTCAACTTCAGATTATTGTACTTATGGTCAAAGTCAGTATTATGTAGTCTGACTTAAAACACTGTAAATAATTCAACGTGCAGATATCATATGATTCAAATCCTTTATTAACTTTGATCAAAATGCTTTATACAATCATTTTTTACAATAAAATAAAATGACTTGTTTGCAATAACACAACTGTTTTACATTTATATTGCATATTTGTTATTTTAAGTATTTTTAAACATTTATTGGTATTGCACCTGTAAAAAATTAATTAACTTTGATTTGGTTTAAAACCCTGACACAATATTGATCAAACTAAAAATAAAAGTTTGTCATTAATTTAACAATATACAATTTTTGGGAATAAAATATGTTCATCTAAAATGACTCTATTGTGCATGTTTTTATATTCAAATCCCAGAGGTCACTCCACTACATGTGTATTGAACAGGTGCATAACCAAAAAAAGTGTGAAAGTAAGGTAATTTTAGTTTCCCTTGCAGATTCACAAAAGCCCATCAGAATGAAATGAGTCGTGCATAAAGCCCATAGGATGGTTTAAACTTATCACTTGTTCTTCATTCTTTTGTATAAGCTGTCAATCTCACCAATATGAGACTGTAATGCTGGTCAGGAATACTGGTATAGTGCCAGCAGAAGTGGATTGACATCATACCACTAGTATGAAATTATGACGTACTGTAATACTGGTGTGTGATGGCAGAATGGAGTTGACATCATAGAAATGTGAGACTATCTCCTACTATATGTCATTAGGAATACAAGTGTGTAACAGAAGAAGTGGATTGACAATCATAACACTGTGAGACTGTCTTCTACTGTAGGTAGTTGGGAATACCGGTGTGTGACAGCAGAAAGGGGTTGATGTCATAGCACTGTGAGACTGTCTCCTGTTGTATGTATTTAGGAATACTGGTGTGTACCAGCAGAAAGGAGTTGATATCATAGCACTGTGAGATTGTCTCCTACTGTAAGTAGTTGGGAATAATGATGTGTAACAGCAGAAAGAGTTGATATCATAGCACTTTGAGATTGTCTCCTACTGTAGGCAGTTGGGAATATTGATGTATGTCATCAGAAGGGAGTTGATATCATAGCACTGTGAGACTAACAAGACTTGTCAACTAACAAGAACGTTTGTATTAAAACCAGAATATAATTGGAAAATGTATATATATATAAACACCGTAACGATATTAATATATTATTGGTGATTGTTATCAACATAAATATCATAATTAAAAATATTTCGAAACAATTGACAAAACTGGTACTTTTAATACCTAAAACATTGATAAATTTGATTGGAACAATAACATAAATACGTTAAGCCAGTGCTTCTCATACGGGGTTTCGCGGAACCCTAGGGTTCCTCGACAGACAATCCAAGTGTTATGCGGAATACAAGAGTTCCACATATTCTAATACGCAAATACATACTAGTCACATAATTGCAATCTGGTTACATCATATTTCTTTATTAGTATAGCGGGTTTCATAATGACACAACAGGTCACTGTACTGTTTTAAATTAGTGAGCGAGATTAGGTATAAACAGATGCTTGAGTCACTATTTGAGAGAGCAAGCCCCTCGTTATGTGTGTCCGAGTAATTGGCTCAAGAAATTGCTCATGCTTTGCATATGTGTGTGTGGCTATATAGCTGCATTAAACATACGTACTCTGTTTGGAATTATTGATATAGTATTGCAGTATTGTTGTTTGTTGTTTTTTTTTGTAACGAACGCTGTGAAGGGTTCCGTGACACACATTTCATGCCAGAAGAGCTCCACGGATTCAAAAAGTTTGAGAACCATTACGTTAAACAAGACACTTCAATTACCTGAACATCATAATCTAGAAGAGCAAATAACACCTAAAGGTAATAAAAAAAATAGAGATCATTCGGTGTGTTTTTGTTGTTGTTTTTTGCGGTGTTTTATTTACTTTTGTTGTAAAACACAAGTGTTTGCCTTTAATTTGTCATCCAGAACGGTTTTAAAAAGTTACTAAAGAAATATAAATAAATTATTTTACAAAAACGGCAATCATTTTGAGGGCTGAAAGATTAGATCCAGTATATTTATTTTTAGAATTATATTCAATATTACTTTTTCATGTATATTATATAGCATATTACGTATATGTTTTTTTTTTCTTTTAAGTATTATAATGTTTGTAAAAAAGTGTCATTATTTCATTTTACCATAATAACGACAAATAAGTTCACAGGGATGTTACTTAGATTAAATTTAATATTATATTTTATGTCCACTAACATTTCTTATGTTTATACCTATTTCAAATGTCGAATTTTTACTAAAAATGTTGCATTTATTTTTTTGAGAGTTTGACCTTACAAAATATTTCATAAAAAGTAAGTTACGGAGTTTTCAAAGTTAACATTTTGATGTCAAGAGCTTGGAATCTTCATGCACTTTCTACGGTGCTTCATATAGATATCTGAGGACGTGACGCCACACATTTCCTATAAGAGTTATAATGGCACTTTTATGTAGCTGTAGTAGTTTCGATTCACCAGTTGTTATTATTGCTATTTTTTTTGTTCTCCGATTCTTCAGCAATAAAAATATATATGCAGTTGGTTCTAAAAAATTCTTCCAGACCCAATTTTTTACACAGTTATAGGTCTTTCGCGTGGATATTTCTCACATGAATAAGTCATTTGTACTTATTTATAATTTTGTTGGGAGCAGGATAAAATTGAGAGATGTGGTGGGCTTTACGCATCCCACGTGCAAAAAGCATGAGAACTGGATTGTTAGACTGAACCATATGTATTGACTTATTCATTTCAGTAATTAATAATAATTGCTTTCATCGTTTGATTTCAGTAGTTAGTCTTTCTAATTGTTTTTCTAATTTATTTTGGCATTTCACTGTCCTCCAATAAGCGATTCTGATCAGCACATTAAAAACGATTCGAAAAACAGAAAAGTTTACCATAATTTGGAAGGTGACGTACATGAGCCAATGGCAACATGACACGTAAGCTGTTACTTTTTCCTTGAATGGTACACCCATTAACCGACACCAAAATTTCATCATAGCTGTCCAGTGAAGAAACGGTATGACTATGCTCATGGCTTGGATGATGTCCTTACTCATCTGAACAGCTTCTGGCAAAGGCGACTTAATTGTTGGCTTCCACACAATATCCATTATCTTATGAAATACTGCTTCCGTCTCCACTAGGCTTCCGTCACAAATGTTGAAGCGGTCGTCAATACCCAGTTGATAGCCCACCCCTCTCCAGAAATGTACGAGACTCTCCAAGTCTTCCTGTGAGCAGTAGATCCCTAAACATCGAGGAAATAACACAATCACCCCAATAAAGGAAAACTGTGTCATAGCCATGTCATACTGAGACATAACCACATTTTGACAAGGGCAAGTCAACTGTGTTTTAATATTCCTAATTTCATTAGATTCTGTCTGCGTGTTTTTATCATTCAATCTATCGGCAACGTTTCTGTGCATACTCCGAGTAATTATTATTGATTTGTAAGCAGGATCTTCAGGATTCCAGATGTCGCCCTCGTACCACTTCCGAACGTGACACATTGTGCTAACGTATCGCCGAAAAATACGCACCAAGTTCGAAGAGTTACCCGTATAGTGTAACGGGTTAAGCATGTTGGGAATATATACCAACAAGAAAAGCCCTGACAAGTGAGCAAAGAATATGCTGTGAAAAAGAAAACATTTCAATATACAATATTACGAAACATTATCTGAGCATACAATATACACAGATTTTTAGATACTGTGGGACAAGGCTAAATTATGTTAAATCAACAAACTCCGAGTTTCTTTGTTATACTATAAATTTAACGGTGTTAAAATCATCAGTTTCATAATAAAACACGTCTTGCTATTTATTTATATCTATTGCAAATAAATATTTGTGTATCAAAAAATTGATTTTCAAGGATATTGTTGCGTCAGCGAGTCACATGACCACCGTGACGCCACGTTTCTAGAACTACCCTGTAATTTGGCGAATGCTCTAGTAATTACTGGATAGAGGGTAGACCGGGGTATATAAAAGAGGGGAATGTAACGTGTCTGTGTGGATAGTGAGTAATTGAACTGCAGTCACAGGGTATTGTTGAAGTTAACGTTCGTTCGTGATACTGTTTGTTTTAGCGCGAATATTGAGATTAAGTGTGTCGCAGAGTTATATTCTGAAAGAATAAACCAGTTTTATTAAGAAAGGACTTGTGTCGCTTAAGTTTCGTCGGAACGAAGTTACAGAAAGTTAATTAACAAACGGAGACTAACAATATTAAAGTTTCCCGAAAGACTTTCTACGGAAAATTAACAAACGAACAGAGACGTAACAGTATAAAAGTATTTCAAATCAAGTCTTCCTGCGCAGAAACATAACAAAGTGAACGAACACGAAATTATTATTACATGTTACTGATTTTTTTTAAGTTAATAAAATGAGCGTCAGTTTTCGTACACCGTTTAACATCGCTTTTTGTTTTTCGAGAAAGTATTGTCAATGATAACCTTTTAATAAAACTGTTTGAATTGTTACTCATTTTATAATCAATTCGAATTTTTTATCATACTAAAAACAATTTTCCTTATAACTTACCTAAAAAAGTTTCGTCTAAACACTTCTCTTGCTCGGTAAAACTTCTCTTTGACCAACCAAGGTGGCGGAAGCGATGTGGAATTTCCGCTATCTCCGTGCCACTCGGCACCGAGCCGTAGGTCCTCTAACCGTTTCTTTACATCAGTCCGAACCTTAAAACTGTCCTTCATTTTAGAAGATTGCCACGGCTATAGAGTAATTATGCAAATCTACTTTATGGAATGAAAATAAAATTGACGGAAAACAAACAACATACAAAACCTGTTAAAATTAATTTTATGATTTTAATTTATTCAATACCAGTTATTTTGGGTTGTGCAATACTGAAAACACGGAGTTTATAAGCTGGAGTGCGCATGACGTCATATTCAGTAATCTCGAGTGTCATACTTGAAGTAAAGACAAAACATTGCTTTAACGTCTACATAGCACGTGTTCCGTTCCGGATCACGATTAATATTGTTGCGTCAGCGAGTCACATGACACTGTGACGCAACGTTTCTAGAAATATCATGTACTTTGGCGAATG